TGAAAGTTAAGTTTCTAAAATGTCCATAACCCTTCGATCCAGAAATTCCACTCCGTGGCTTATACCCGAAGGAGGTCATTGATAAAAAAGAAAGTACCTATATTCACCAAATATTTATAGCAGTCCTTTTCATGGTAGAAAAGAACTGGGAACAAAGTAGATGCCCAATGATTGGGAGAATGACAAAACAAGTTAGATTCCATGAATGGAACGGAATATCACTGTGCTGAAATAAGAATATAATGAATATAGAGAAGCATGAAAATATCTACGTGACCTGATGCAGAGTGAAGTAAGCAGAACCAAGAAAACAGTACATAAGGAAGACAGTCACTAATACAGAGCAATATAAAGTGAACGCTGCAGAATTACAAAGAATAACCATGGCCCCAAAGATGAGCTATGATAAGACACCTTTCCCCACACCTGTGCAGAGGTGGAAGGCTAATGGGTTTGGAATATTGCATGTATTTTCATATTTTTAAAAAATGTATTGATTATTTTCCCTGATTTTTGTTCCCTTTTTCTTTTAAAAAATATTATTTGTTATATGCATGCCTCTCTGAAAGAAGAGAGGGGGCAGGATGTAGGGGGAAATTTAGATGATATAAAAACAAGAGGCATCAATAAAAATTTATTTTTAAAAAATAGCTAAGTTCTACTTCCACTTGTGAAATAGTTGATCAAAGATGTCAAAGAAAACATATTAATATTAATATTGTAATCTGCATTTGTGGGCTAAGGTCTGCCAGAAACAATGTTATTTAACTTAAGGTTAATTTAAAATTCAAGCATTTCTAGCTTAGAGACATGTCCAAACTGCCACAGGCTCTCTGCTCCAAGGTAATTTTAGGTAACATTTATAAGATTCTTCAACAAGGAAAAGATCACAACACATAAAAATATAATCAAGTCAAGTCAACAAGCATTTATTAAGTGCCTACTGTATGCCAAACACTGTGCTAAGTAAGCCCAGGGGATATAAAAGAAAGGCAAAAACAACTTCTAGCCTTAAGGAGTTCAGGTTCTAATGGGGGAGGGCTATATGCAAGCAAGATACAAACAGGGTAAACTGAAGGAAACTCAGAGGGAAGGCACTAACATCAAGGAGGACTGGGAAAGGCTTCTTGCAGATGGTTGGATTTTAGCTATGACTTCCAGCAAGCCAGGGAAGTCAGGTGGTGGAAATAATAAGGAGAAAGAGAATTCCAGGTATGAAGGAGAACCAGTGAAAATGCCTGGGACTCCAGGGAAGGGTTTAGATAAACATTCCACAATTGTTGAGCAAGGATCCCATTCTCTCCTGAACCACTCCTCTCACTCCAAGAGTGTTATCGCAAAAATGATAGCAATGCCTTTTCTCAATGGTGAGTAAACAAAGAAACCCTCCAAGGGTAAGGAAGGCAACATACAAGCAACTTATTCTTTGTGAAAAGTTGGGTACCAGCCCTTTCCTTAGAAAAGTCTTTTTGTTCTTCACCTATCATCTGTTTTTCCAAAGATTTTTGGAAAGGGCTTGAGAGAAAAATATGATTTCTTAATATTTTCAGTTCTCCTAAAAAGGAGGCTTTTAAAACCTGTTTCATGATTAGTCACTCCCTCCCCCCATAAGTATATCAATTCAGTCAAGCGAGCATTTATATGGGATAATAAGAGCTAACATTTATACAGTTGTTACGTGCCAGCTACTGTGCTAAATGCTTTACAATTATTGCTTCATTTGATCCCCACAACAACCATTGGAGGTAGGTGCTATTATGATCCCTATTTTACAGATGAGGAAACTGAGGCAAATAGCTGTGAAGTCCCTTGTCCATGATTACACATTTGGTAAGTATCTGAGACTGATTTGAACTCAGGTCTTTCTGACTCTAGGCCCGGTGGTCTACCCAGTGAACCACCTAACCATCCCTCATACATATAGTGCTTTAAAATGTGCAGTTTTTACAAACACTATTTCATCTGAACTTCATGAAACTTTTTGTATCTCCAGAGAGAGAGGGAGGGGGAAATATAATGAAATTTATAATGAAATAATAAATAATAAAAATATAATGAAAATGAAAATGAACTGTTCAGAAGTCTCCCAGATAGTTATAGTGCTATGAGGCTCCTTCAATCTCTAAGCATTTATTAAGCAACTACTATGTGGCAGGCACTGTGCTAAACATTAGGGATACACGAAGAGGCAAAAACAAAAACAAAAACACACACTGCACAAAACAAACAAACAAACAAACAAAACTGACCAGTTCCTATCCTCCAGGAGTTCACAATCTAATAGGGGAGACAAACAAATATATGCAAACAAGCTACATACAGGCTAAGTAGGAAATAACCAATAAAGGGAAGGCATTTGAATTAAGAGAGGTTGGGAAAGGCTTCCAGTAGAAGATGGGATTTTAGCTGGGACTTGAAGGAAGCCAGGGAAGTCAGGAGGTGGAGTTGAGGAGGGAGGTTCCAGGCATGGGGAATAGCCAGAGAAAGTGCCTGGAGCCAAGAGATGGAGTGTCTTGTTCATTGAACAGCCAGGAGGCCAGTGTCGCTGGTTTGCAGAGTATGAGATGGAATATGAGGAGTGAGACTGGAAAAGGGAGGATGCTAGATAATGATGGGCTTTCAAAGACAGAGAAATTTGTATTTGATCCTAAAGGTAATAGGGAGCCACTGGAGTTTACTGAGTAGGGAGAGGCATGGTTGGACCTATGCTTTAGGAAAATCTTTCATTTTGGTGGCTGAATGTATTGGGAGAGACTTGAGGTAGACCAAGGGACCCATTAGCAGGCTATTGAAATAGTCCGAGTAAGAGATGATGAGAGCCTGCCTGAAGGGATATGGCAGTGTTAGAGCAGAGAAAGGGGTATATTTGAGATATGTTGCAGGAGAGGATTTTGGGAAGATGGTGGAGTTGATCAGAAAATTCCAAGCTCTCCAGATTTGTGCCTCAGAACAAACATAGAGGGCTAAAAATAAACAAGAGTTGGGTCAGAACAGTGGTCCTTTTGGGACAATCTGTATAACATCCAGAGAAAAAATGGAGGTTTGATCCCTGTAAACAGTGAACACCTCCAGGCTAGTTCAGTTAAAATAACAATCTACAAGCCCTGGGGCTATCTGGGTTGGGAGGTGGCTGCAGCCCTAGCCACAGGAACTTTTACTTCCTGAACAGTGTGGGGAGCCAGGTGTCTGGGGCATCTGAGCCGGGGAGGATTGAGGGAATCTTTGCCAATAAGGAATGCCAACTCTAGCTGTGTTGCTGAGATGTGGCCCTGGGCGAGAAGGAACCTGCACAGGCCTGGTGAGTGCAGAAGCAGTGGGTAGGGGTAGGGGACACCAATGGCTGTGGACACTTACAGGAGGGCAGAATTCTTGGTTTCAGTTCTAAGCTAGAGGGGAGAACTGAAGGAGGATCTGAAGCCAGAGGCACCATCCACTTTACCCCAGAACTAGAGGTGATTACAAAAAATAAGCTGCTACAAATAAAATTAAAAAAAAAAAAAGAGCAGGCAAAGGAGAAAGAATCCAACCATAGAAAATTACTATGGGAATAGAGGAGACTAGGGTTCGTCTTCAGAGGAGGATACTGAAGCAAAAAAAAGCCTCTCCTGCTCTAAAGAATAAAGTCAAATGGTTACCTGCCTAAAAAGAATTCACAGAAGAACTTAAAAAAGACTTTAAAAATCAAATGAGAAATATTGAGGAAAATTTTTAAAAAAAAACAATGCAAGAAAAACAAGGAGATTATGAAAAAAAAGTTAACTAACTATGAAAGGAGATCCAGAATCTTAAGGAAGAAAACAATTCCTTGAAAATTAGAAGCCAGCAAAGTCATGAGAGACCAAGAAAAATAAAATATAAAGAATGAAAAAATAGAAGAGAATGTGAAACATATTGTAAGAAAAACAACTGATCTGGAGAATGGACCAAGAAGAGAAAACATAAGAATAATCAGACTACCTGAAAGCTACAATCAAAAGAAGACTCTTGATACAATAATACAACAAATAATTAAAGAAAATTGTCCTGAAGCATTAGAACAAGAGGGGAAACTAGAAATAGAAAAAATCCACCAATCACTACCTGAAAGAGATTCTACATGGAAAACCTACAGGAATATAATAGTCAAACTCCAAGGCTCTCAGCTCAAGGATGAAATATTATAAGCAACAAGAAAAAAGCAATTTAAATACGGAGGTGCCACAATTAGAATCATACAAGACCTAGCAGTGGCGACAGTAAAAGACCACAGGTCTTGCAACATGATATATCAAAGGGCAAAAGAACTGGGGTTGAAAATATCATACCTGGCAAAGTTAAGCATAATCCTAAATGAAAAAAAAAAGGATATTTAATGAATTAGACTTTCAGGATTTTGTTAAAAAAAAAACAAATAAAAAAACAAAAAACCCAACCCTGAACTTAATAGATGATTTGGCATGTAAGATCCAAGAGAAATATAGGGTGCATATCAAAGATTCACTACAAGGGACTCAATAAGGATAGAATGCTTACCTTTTATATGAGGAAATGTAAAACACATGTCTAAGATTCTTATTAGTGATTGATTAGTTTGTAAGAAAGATTGGGGTAGATCCTCACATGATATGATTTTTAAAAGTAAAACTATTTAGGACTAGGTAAAAAGAATAATTATTTTATACAAATGAGGTCCAAGAGGAAGAACTGACACAGAGGAGTTAGATGGAGGAGGACAGCTGGTAGTTCTGGAACCCTGCTTTCATCAGGAATGGGCTTAAGGGAGACCAAGAGTATAAAAGTGTAATCGAAAGGATTACCTATTGTGCAGATTGAGTTTAGGTTTGGATCTCAAGATATAATGACACATACTCAGTGTAATCTTAACAAATAATCACATTTGTTTTGCAATGATTAATAATGATTAAAGCAAAACACACACATAAAGATGAGAAAAACATTCAATATAATAAGTAATAATCAAAATACAGAAAAGGGGGAATAAGAAAAGAAAGGATACACACTCACTGACCAGGCGAGCCCAAATACCTAATAGACCAGGGAAACTGAAGAACAGCCAAGAGGTCTTGGTCAGGGAGGCAACTAGGAGGCATCCAGCTCCTGCTCAAGAGAAGTGGTGCATGCATTCCACTTCTGACCACAACAGAGATTCAGTGTCCCTATCTCTGACATCAAAATACTCCAAAAATCCCTTTCCAAATGGCCCCTTTTATATCTATGTAAACCAGGGAAAAACAATCTTGATATTTTGTTTTGTGTATGTATCCTTGGTGAGTGCTCAGGTCCAGGCATGCACACATTTTAACAAAGGCTGGGCCTTGATCAGAGCCCCAAATACCTATTTGTTGCGTTAAGTCTCCAAGGAGTGATCAGTTCCTTGGACAGTTACACACCTTTCTCAAGAAAAATGTTGCTTGAGATGATTTGCTTCCCCAAGTTAACATAGTTTGTTGGTTATTTAATGTTCTGTCTCCATGGTCACCTGCCATGCATTGGTAACTCCAATTTATCTTTATGTCAGGTCATGAGGCGGTTATACCAGGAGGCTGGGGAGGATCTATCCTCCTCAGTTTCCCTTACAAAAAGTGTTCTAAATTCAGAACGAAATAAAAGGCTAAGGGGATGGGGGGGTGGAGCTGAGAGGGTAAAGGAGTTGTTTCTAAAGGGAAGGGCAAGGGATTAAGATAAGGGGAGGGTAATACTAGGGTGTTTAGATTGACAGGAATGGGAGGGTAAGAGAGGGATCCTGGGGGGGTAAATTAAATAATAGGAGGGCAAGGTAATGGGTAGAAGTAAAGTGGAAGAGTCAGGAGAGATAGGAAATAAGAGATATACACAAACATAAAATAAGGATCAGGAGTAGAATTTATTAGGGAAAAAAAAGCAGGGACAGTAATCATGATCTCAGACAAAGTTAAAGCTTATTTAATCATAAGAGAAAAATAGGGAAGCTACACTATATGTCAGCTGTATTAACCAATATTGTTTTAGACTATTTAAAATGACTAGATAGTATAATGATAGAATATTGTTGTGGTGTAGGAAATGAGGAGTTGGTGGACTTAGAAAAATATGGAAAGATTTGGACTTATGAAGGAAGAGATTATCTACCCTCAGAGAAACAGACAGTCTTATGTAAATGCATATGAGTGTATATGTCTATATATGAGTGTGATTATTAGATATCTAAGAATATGTATCTGTATATAAGGGTATGTATGTATGTGTATATGCATGTATATATCTTTGTGTATGTATATGTAGGTATGTTTGTATGTGTATATGTATGTATATATGTATATAAATATATCTGTGCTTAATTGTACCTTTTGGGGGGGGAGAGGGAGGAAAGGGGAAAAAGCACAAGGTAAAAAGTGCACAGCAGAGAACAAAATAAAACTTACAAGAAAGCAAAGAAAAGATGGACAGCTCTGAACACAATGCAAAGCATTTGTGATATAGGCTTTCTTGAAATGGAAATTTATTGCTGTATATTTGGAATCCTCTCCTAAGTTCTGCTGTGCACATGGCAATGCTTTTTTTTTCTCATTTCTTATTTTGGATTTAAGTTTGCATTTCTTTTCCTTTTCTTATTATGTATTTAAGTTTAAAACAAATTAATTTTTTTTTTGGTGAGGCAATTGGGGTTAAGTGACTTACCCAAGGTCACACAGCTAGTAAGTGTCAAGTGTCTGAGGTCAGATTTGAACTCAGGTCTTTCTGACTCTAAGATTGGAGCTCTATCCACTGTGCCACCTAGCTGTCCCTAAATAAATTTTTTAAAAAGAGATATGTTGCAACAGTGAAATTGACAGCTCTTGACAACAAATTGTATGTGGGGGAGGTTAGAGAGGGTGAGGAGTTGAGGATAATGCATTGGTTTTGAGCCTGGAGGATTGGGAGGATGGGGTTACCTATGACACTAATAGGGAAGGTAGGAAGTGAGGAGGGTTTGGGGGGAAGGAAAATGAGTTCAGTTTTGGACATGTTGAGCTTTTAGATGTTTACAAAACATCCATTTCAAGATGTCTAAAAGGCAGTTGAGAGGGGAGACTGGAGGTCAGCCGAGAGATTAGGACAGGATAAGTAGATTTTAGAATGATCATCATAGACATGATAATTAAACCCATAGGAGCTGATGAAATCACCAAGTGAGGTAATATAGAGGGAGAAGAAGCTCAGGACAGAATCCTGAGGGACACCTATGATTAGAAGGTGTGACCTGGATGAGGAGCCAGCAAAAGAGACTGAGCAGTCAGATAGGAGAACCAAGAGAGGGTGGTGTCCTGAAAACCTAGAGAGAAGAGACTATAAAGGAAAAGAGGGTGGCCAACCATGTCAAAGGCTCCAGAGAGGTCACGAGGAAAGAGGAATTGAAAAAAAAGTCATTGGACTTGGCGATAAGAGATCGTTAACTTCAGAGGAATGATGAAGTCAGAAGCTGGATTGAAGGTGGTTAAGAAGGGAGAGTGAGAGAAGAGGAAGCACCTATTGCACATGGCCTTCTCAAAGAGTTGTTGTTGTTTGTCCTTCACTCTGGAAGAGGAGAGGTGATGCCATGACATGCAAGGGAACTAGATTTAAGTGAGAGAGGGCTATGCAATTACTTTCTCCTCTAGAGCCATCTGGGTCCAGTGGCAGGACTACTGCAGATGGCCCAGGAAGCAGTGGGAGACCTTGGCCTTTTTAAGCTAAGGTCTTTAAAAGGTCTCTGTCTGACAGAGGCAACACCCATTTAGTGATTAAGGATAGGTAAGAAATGAGGTAGAGAATGGCCTCTTTTACCTAATTAAAAAAAAAATCAATCTGGAAGGAAAAGACACTTAGGGCTTCTGGACAAAATAGAAACACTTGCTATTTGCATTCACTCTCAGTCCATGACAGCCCAAACAGTGACCAAGTAGGGCTTGGCTGGGGACCTGTTGTTGGCCAGTCAATGAGAGGGATTGGGTTTGAAACATGGTCCTTAAGAAAGAAATCTAATTCGTAAACCCTAAGATATCTTGCTAGGTTTCAGAGATCAAAATTGACATTTCTTTGGGCAGAGCACCTGAAGGTAAGGATATGATACCCTATATGGACAGAGGGAAGGGAAAGGAAAGAAGAACAAAAGAAAGAAAGAAAGAAAGAAAGAAAGAAAGAAAGAAAGAAAGAAAGAAAGAAAGAAAGAAAGAAAGAAAGAAAGAAAGAAAGAAAGAAAGAAAGAAAGAAAGAAAAAGAAAAAAGAAAGGATGGAAGGAAGGAAGGAAAGAAGGTAGGAAAAAAGCTGTTTTGCCTCATTACAGTTGGGTCCCCAGTAGGGCAGCTCCTCCTTCTATTACTACTACTCACGGAGGCTAGTGTTTGTTCTTCATTCTCAAAGAGGACCATGACATCAGGGAGGTGATGCCATGACATGCAAGTGAATTGGATTTGAGTGAAGGAGGGCTGTGCAAAGTCACCAGCCTCACTTTCTCCTCCAAGGAGTTAAGTCACAATGGGCAAAAGAGATACTGGATGACAGTTAGTGCAGATGGAAGGATCAAGTGAGGGTTTTTGGAGGATGGGGGAGCCAGTGGCATGTTTGTAGCCAGTAGGGAAGGAGCTAGTAGACAAGGAGAGATTAAAGATAGTTAGAAGGTGTGGATGACCTAGGGGAACCTGTTGAAGGAGATAGGATGGAATGGCCTCCTATCTGATCCTTTACTTTATGCCTGATCTTGAGCCTTCTCCAGGAAGAGGAGTGATGTCTTCTACTCAATGATGAAATACTCATACTTGGTCCTACTTACACTTCTCAGTGATTTTGAACCCCTATAGTCATCATTCAAACCCCATTCTCTGTCTACTACCACCTGTTTCCTTATTCTCATCCTCCTCAGCCCTCCCACCTCATGAAGTCCCAATCAAATGCCATCCATCCCTTCCTCTCTTCTGTCTGGAATGCCTGTTCTATAGGCAATAAACTTGTCTTCATCTTCAATCTTTTCTTCTCCCACTCCTTCCATTTTCTGGTAATCCCCAAGACCTCTCCCCCTTGACACACCCACCCTGGATATACTTTCTAGTACTGGCTAGACTTTAATTCATTTCTCTCAGTTCCAAGGTCAAGATGGGAAAATTGGAATACTCCTTGCTCCCCATTGCTATTTATAGGTTCTCTCCCTATCTCTATCACTCAGTAACTTCTCTTCCTTTGAGGTTCACACAATTAATATTTACCATCTTATCAAAATCCTCATAGCTGTTGTCTACATACCTCCAGAATGCTCCTCTTCCTTCCTCTGACCTTCCATGGTTCCCCTTCCCTCATCCTTTCAAATGAGAACCTTGCCTCAAATTTTATCAAAAAAATTGAGGCCAATCTCCATGAGTTCCCTCTTGTCTCTTCTTCATCTCATGCCACTCAGATACCTTCTGCCACTAGTTTCTCCTTCATCCCTATCTGACAAGAAGAGGTGGCCCTACTCCTCACCAAGGCCAGTCCCTCTACCTGTATGATCAATCCCTTCCCCAATTGTCTGGGGGGGGGGTTTGACTTTTCTTTTTTTAATAATTTATTTTTAATTTTCAACATTCACTTCCATAAGATTTTGAGTTTCAAATTTTCTTCCCCTCCCTTTTCTCCCCCCTCCATAAGACAGTGTGTAATCTGATACAGGCTCTACTTATACATTCATATTAAGTATATTTTCACATTAGCCGTGATGTAAAAAACAATTAGAACTAATGGGAGAAACCACAAGAACAAAGCAACAAAACAAAACAACAAAGGAAAAGGAGAGCAAATAGTCTGCTTTGATCTGCATTCAGACTCCATGGTTCTTTTTCTGGATGTGGATAGCAATTTCCATCATGAGTCTTTTGGAATTGTCTTAGACCCTTGCATTGCTGAGAAGAGCAGTGTCTATCAAAGTTAGTCATCGCACAACATGACTGTTATTGTGTACAACGTTCTCCTGGTTCTGCTCACTTCACTCAGCATCAGACCATACAAGTCTTTCCAGGTTTTTCTGAAGTCTGCCTGTTCATCATTTCTTATAGCACAATAGTATTCCATTACATTCATATACCACAACTTGTTCAGCCATTCCCTAAATGATGAGCATTCACTCAATTTCTAATTCTTTGCCACCACAAAAAGAGCTGCTATAAATATTTTTGAACATGTGGGTCCTTTTCCCATTTGTATGATCTCTTTGGGATAC